TCGAAAACGCTTCAAATCGCGATCGTGTCTTTCAACCCGAGCTAGAAATGTCTGTGTTGTGCACAGGCTACATTTCAGCGATTTAATAGGAAATTTTTGATTCATTGTGATTGACTAATAAAATTGGAATGGTGAGAATAATGATGATGATACTGGTGATGCACAAGTTGTAATGATACTGCTGATAATGAAAATATATTGTACATACCAATTGTAATGAGACATAAATAATGAGATTGGCAGTAATGAATGTGTATGACTTGATCAATGTGCTGGTGAGAAGGCAATGTATTGCCACCTAGATGAAGTCCCATGCCATTTTGTGTTCAAAACTAACTGTTCTCATCAGCGCCAAGCATAAAGCATTTTAAGGGACCCTGTGAATGGGGCAATAAGCCCTTTAGGGATCACCAGTCATTTATGACAAAGCTCGTAAATAAATAAAATAAAAATAAATAAGCTGGTTTCTACCCCGCTAACTGATCTTGAAACTATGTGCACACATATAAATATTCATTTCCCCCCTCATGAATTATATTGTTTGCACAAAAAATCTGTTGATTATTTCATTTGGAAACAGTGTGAATGTTGTTTGAATTTGGTATGTTTACTCTGTGACAAGTGATATATAATTCATGCATAATATGGTGATTTTGGTTTCAGGATGTAAAAAATGAAATTTACTTACTGATAAAATTCAGTGTAACCATATTCATTAAGCCTTTGTGTCTCTCTGTTAAGACCTACCTCCTCAATACAAATAAAACTCTGCATAGTAGATAGGACTGAATAGGTTTTTAATTTTCCTAGGAAATTACTGACATAAATTACAGAGTGACATTACTGACAAAAGTATGATGCATCAAAACACCCAATATTAGTCCTAATTTTCTAGACCAGTTGTGAATAATACTTCAATTAAAACCCAAAAGAATTTTATGGGAAAAAAAAAATTATAGTTACAGGAACCACTGAGTATTTTAATAAAATACAAAAGGACAGTATAACTCCAAATAACATTTTGTAGCTTGACAGTATAACTCCAAATAACATTTTGTAGCTTTAAAGCTACAAAATGTTATTTGGAGTTACTGTCCTTTTGTATTTTAAGTAATTATAGTATTCTCAGTATAAAGAGGAATAATTGATTTATGAAAATTATGTAGGCTGAAATATTTAAAATGTTTAAGGATGTTGGTTTTTAACCAAAGCCAAAGATATTTGAAAACACAGTATGATATGTCAATCTCGGTGCTCGACTGTTGGGTAGTAGTCACAATGGTAACAATAACATTTGTGTGGTTAATCTAGTTAAAGCAGAAAATTTGATCTGCTGGTACAAGGCATGTTTTCTTGGGGCTGTAGCAAGATATTATTATATACTATAAGATGCAGCTGACAAATGAAGTATTTCAGAAAAAATATTTACCCTAAAATTATTAGTGACTTGTGCCACGACTAAAATTATGTTACAGCCTTGGTTCAAATTTCATAAATCATGAACTGATGTAACTGCAAATGTAAACAAATAGGTGAATGTGCACACAGTACAGACTGTTATTTGCCTTTAGGACTCCTATTTACATATCAGATTCTTAATTAATAAATTTGTTATTTTATACATGTGCTTCAGGACTTCCTATTATTTTTCATGTTTCAACATCACTGGATATTATTTTTCATGATTCAGAATTGGTACCCCCCCCCCCTTCCCCCCCTCTTCCAGACAATGAGAAATAAACATCCCAAAAATAAATATGAAATTAATTCACACACAAATGTTTCAAGATACTGTATATAATTTTATTCACAACTGTATTTTAAACGACTTAAACTACATACATACGGAAACCAACCTGTCACTCGACAAGTTAATTGTTTCAAAATATTCTGTTTTGATAACTACATGTTTACACATGAAGAATTTCGTTTCCATAGATCAATAGATGCTCCTTTCATTATACAGGCACATTTATATTGAGTATTTATCCTTCCATAAAAGTACAATAAAATCCCAAGTGATATTCTTTGGTCAATACGTAGAAATTACTTATAATCAACAATGTTTATTAAATTCTTTATAAAACGTCGCACACAAGCAGCTGCATGGATACAAAATAGACAGTTTAAAGACAGATCACTCGACTAGTTTTCTCTCAGTTTGATCCTCGATCTTTGATTCTTTGATAAGTATTACCGTTCGCTATTCCACAATTTGTTGAAAGAAAGCTCGTAGAATGCATATTTTTAGTATACACCCACTCTCAAATCTCACTCGAAAACGTCGCGCCTATTATAATTCGCGCTGCCATGTTTGACAAAATACAAAATCAATCGGCTCCGCTCCCCCCGGATTGAAAATTAAATACACCTTTCCGGAAGGTAATAGACCTTTCCCCTTTTGAGTGAAATTTTGATCTAGACAAGTCCAATGGACAAGTCTGGACAAAAATTTCATCACAGCTTGAAAGAGCATCACAAAATTAGTAATATTCCGAAGTTTCGTTGCGAAATGATGTAAAATGCGGATAATATAGCCTTGCGAAGTTTGCCGTTTTTCAGTCATTTTTTATTACAAAGGTAACAGTTTAGTCATCATGGACCGAGACGAGTATGACAAGAAGATGGAAAACCTATTGGAAGATGAAACGACATATGCTATCATACCTAAGCCACCATTCAAACGAGTAGAACGAGAGTTAAATGCCATGCTGCTTAACCTAAAGAATCAAGAGAAAATTCCCGAGAATACCTACCGTAAGCTACACTCAAGTGACGCAATCCCTCCAGCCATCAGAGGTTCCATCAAGCATCACAAAGTAGGTTACCCACTTAGACCTATAGTTACATGTATCGACTCAGCTCTTTACGAAACTTCCAAATTCCTTACAAAAATTCTTTCTCCACTACAAAACAAAAACGGCTTCTCAGTAGCTAACTCTACTCAATTCAAAAACGAAATTTCCAACATTACCATAGACGAAGACGAATCTATGATTTTATTTGACGTCGTTTCACTTTTTACAGCCATTTCTGTTGATAAAGCGTGCAAATATATTAGAAGGAAATTAGAAAACGATCCGACACTTCCGGACAGAACTCAACTTGACATTGACGACATTATTCGACTTTTATCTTTTGTTTTATCTAACAGTTTTTTCGTTTATAACAACAACACCTACAAACAAATCCATGGATGTGCCATGGGCAGCCCCGTTAGCGCGATTGTTGCTAACTTGTGCATGGAAGTGATAGAAGAACAGGCCATCCGAGACGCAACTTCACCACCTAAAGTTTGGAAACGTTTTGTAGACGATTGTTTTTCCATAATAAAAAAGACTAACATATCATCTTTTCATGACACACTAAACTCCATTGACCCACACATTCACTTCACTATCGAAAACGAAAGGGACGGAAAGATGACACATTAGTTTCTAGAAACGACGGCTTAATTTTTATTGACGTTTACCGCAAACCCACTCACACAGACCGTTACTTAAACTACCTATCACACCACGACCAAAAGCATAAAATTAGTACTGCAACAACACTTATCAACCGATCCTTGTCACTTCCTACCACTAACGAAAGCAAAGAAAGAGAACTAAATCATGTAACCACAGTCCTGACATCAAATGGTTATCCGAAGAAATTAATTTCAGGATTGATCAAAAAACATAAGAACAAAACTGTAGCAAGTCCTGAAGAGTTAGTGCGGTCATTTTTCGAACTGGTTGAAGGAAAGGCGCCATCTGCAGGAATTGCGGTTCTACCATATATCAAAGGACTAACCGAACCTCTAGCCAGAACACTCCAAAAACATGACATTAAAGTTTGTAATAAGCCAATGAAAACCCTCGAACGCCAATTCCCATCTGCAAAACAGAAACCACCAACAGAAGAACAAAAGAACGTGGTCTACCAGATACCGTGTCAAGATTGCAGTTGGAGCTACATAGGCGAAACAGGAAGATCCCTGAAGACGAGAAAGTCCGAACACGTGAGGAATGTGAAACAAAGCAAGAAGGGGTCCAATGTCGCGAAACACGCATGGACCGCTCAAGATCATATTATTGACTTTGCGAATGCTAAAGTAATAGACAAGGGAAATCATAGGAACCTTAAAACCTTAGAGTCCTGGCACACTGCACTAACAGACCAAGCTGATAATAACTCTAATACGCTTCCAGCACAATACACAATACTTTTAAGAAAGGAACTCAAGAAACGGAGCGATTGCAGAATACCCGTCCACGCATAAATCGTGATACTAAGTGGTACGCGGATACGTGGCTACGCAGTGAGTTAATTTGAAAATGACGTAATGATAAGATAGATGTAGTATTTATTGGATACGCGGATACGTGGCTACGTAGTGAGTTCAATTAAAAGTATGGTAAAGACTAAAGTAAATGTATAGTATTTAGTGGATACGCGGATACTTGGCTACGCAGTGAGTTCAATTTAAAATGACGTAATGATAAGAGAGATGTAGTATTTATTGGATACGCGGATACTTGGCTACGCAGTGAGTTAAATTGAAAATGACGTAATGATAAGATAGATGTAGTATTTATTGGATACGCGGATACGTGGCTAAGCAGCGAGTTCAATTAAAAATATGGTAAAGACTAAAGATAGATGTATAGTATTTAGTGGATACGCGGATACTTGGCTACGCAGTGAGTTAAATTGAAAATGACGTAATGATAAGATGGATGTATAGAATTTACTGGATACGCGGATACGTGGCTACGCAGTGAGTTAAATAAATTATGATAATGCTTTAATGAATTAAAATTTACATGCTTTAAAAATTTACTTGATTTACTGATGATAATGATTACTTGTTACCTTAACCTAAACCCTATAACTGTAACCCCAACCCATACCTAACCCCAAATAGTAAGCTGAAAACCTAGAATCCATGACATGATGTGAATGTTGCAGTACTATTGATTATATTGTTCAAGTGTAATCAATTGCTGTTGTAATAGAAAGTCTTTAATGCTCTTAGTGATAGATTTGTGGATAGACATTTTGAATTTCTCTACGTAAATATGGAACTCACAGAGTGATGAATGAGGCCATGTGGCGGAATGACTAGGTGTTTTCTTCACGAACACTTTAGTAGGCTGTGAACTCCTTGCAACGCGAATTGAAATAGTTGATCCCAAATGGGGTTTCAGTTGTTCCACCGCGTCGTCGTATTCTTGTTTTGTTGAACCACGAACAAATCTCTGTCCAGATTGGCGGAAGGTACGATAGGTGACAACTGGTCCGGGAAACTGAAGAATGGCAGTTTTAACATCGGCACACGTTGGTTGTCTTCTTGGGGCGTCGCAAACATCATGAACAATTGACTTAATAAACTAAAGTGAAAAAAATAGTGACTCGTAAATTTGAGGAAAAGTAAATGTATTATATCATTAAAGCTAGTAGCTATTGCTTACTAATATTATATGAACATGTTTATATTTACCTGGCATATCAAATTTTTTTGAGTCTCAAGGTAGGTAACATACTTCTCAGCGCGCTGTAAGGTTTGTAAGTCAATAACAGTGGGGATGGGATCTTCATCGTGTCCAGCACTTACGTTCGTAAACGCAGCAGTGAATACATGGAGTGCAGCTGCAACACGCGGAACCAAATCCATGTGTTTTGATTTGGGTGGGATGACAGAACCGTCCTGTATTGCTTCATTGACTTCCGTGACGAAGGCGTCCTTTTTGTTCTTCAGGAAATGCTTAGCTTCATCGTGGAACTCATAAGCATTTTGTTGATTTTGTTGGCACTCGTTGATGTAGTGGAAAACTTGATTAAGGAAATCTTCAGGTTCAGTACTGAGGTGTTCCCTTGCGTTTTCAACTTCGTCTGATGTTGAGCAAAGAGCATTTGGTACAGCTAGCAGAAAGCGGTCGATCAAGCCTTGTCCTTGGTCCATTCTTGCGATTAGTTGCAAGTTGCTCGGCTGCATTTGGCATTTGCGTGCAGCCGAGGATAGCGAAAGGAGTGTTGGCTGGAATATCTCGGTTGCGTTCTGTGGAGTATGTGTAAGAACACGCTTCGCCGGAAAAAAGTTTACATGGTAACATCGCGTCACCACTCGCGTTGTCTTCATAATTTTTGAGCAGTTTATTGAGGACGTCATAGATTTCAGGAGAGACAATGAAGGTTGATTGCTTCGTTGAAATGTGTTTAACCAAGCCGGAGGAAGTAGGTCTGTCAAGAATGAAGCTGCTCAATTCGTTGTCCAACAAAGATGCAAGGGGTCCCAAACAACCGTGTTGAATTGCTGACGATTTTCCAGTGCCGGGGTAACCGACAAATATCGTGTAAATGTTCATCGGTTTCTCGTGAGTAGCAGTGGCAACTCTGCAACCATTTTTCGCTGACAAGAAAGCTGTTGTTGAAAGCAGGGCAGGTACGATGTATCCAATGGAGCTATTGATGGACGAAGCTTTGTGGCGTAGAAAGGTCTCCATATCATCACGAAAAAGTTGTTGGAAAATGTACGGGACATCTGATATTCTTTTCTGCAGCTGCGTCCATGTGACTTCGTGTTGCCGAGCAAATTTTTGTGAGAGGATTTTTCGTTGCCATATCGATTATCGAAGTTACTGTATATACGTATAAGTGAATCGTTAAAGAGTCAAAGCTGTTATGGTGACAGATCTGTGAATATTTTTAGTTGAGACGCCAAAATTTGCAATATGATATGCGTGATATGACTGTTAATGCATTTATCTCAAAAGTAATGCGCATTTTAGTGTCACTTAATACCAGAGTTACATATGACAATAGATGACACTTGCATGGTTTTAAAGAGACTGCTATACTCAATAAAATATTGTTTGAATTTTCATATGGAGAAGGCGGTTCAAGTGTGCGTTAAATCTACCAAAACGTGGAAGAAAAACACCGAAACGCAAACAGTGATTTCATCTTTAGAAGTGAAAAGCGTGGGTACACAGTGTGGGGGAGAAAAGCATGACAGTTACAATCGTGAGGAAAAGTTGAAACACTGGACGTATGATCTTTTAAGAGACGAAGTTCTCAGAAGCAAAGAGGAAATCATACAATGGTGTATGGATGAAGGACTAATTGCAAAAAGTCGACTCTGCTGTCACTGTGACCTTCCAATGAAACTTGTTAAATGCGAGGACCGCTCTGATAAGTACAAATGGGAATGCCGTAAAAGCGTGAATGGCAAGAGGAACAAGGTCGAGATATCAATTCGGAAAGGCAGCTGGTTTGAAAAAAGCAACATGACCCTCGAAGAAGTGTTGAAGTTTACTTATTGGTGGTGCCGTGATGTGAGACAAGAGGAAATACGACATGAGTTGAATATTGCCGCTCATACAGCAGTTGACTGGGATAGCTTTTGTCGAGAAACGTGCGAAGTTACACTTATGGAACGCGAACATCCAATTGGCGGTCCTGGCAAGATTGTGCAGATTGACGAAAGCAAATTTGGAAAGAGAAAGTATCATCGTGGACATCGTGTGGAAGGTCAGTGGGTCTTTGGGGGAATCGAGGAGGAGTCAAGAAGAAGTTTTATGGTAGCCGTGGAAAAAAGAGACGAGTCCACGTTATTACCGATAATTGAAAGGCATATTGCGAAAGGCTCAATTATAGTATCAGACTGTCGGAAAGCGTATATAAACTTAGAAAAACATGGGTATGAACATCGCTTAGTGAACCATTCCAAAGAGTTTGTTAACAATGATGGAGATCATACGAACAAAATTGAAGGGCACTGGAGGCAGGCCAAATGCAAAATGCCATCGTTTGGTGTTCGAAAGATTGCGTTTTCTTCTTACTTAGCTGAGTTTTTGTGGCGTTACGAACATAAGGGAAAAGACTTGTTTTCAACGTTTCTTTGGGATGTTAAAAAAATTTATTGTGAATTTTGAAGTGTTGTAAAATATGTGATATAGTTGAAATTGGTTTTGAAATATAAAAAGCAAATACAGTAATATATAGATTTGTGCAGTGCATGGTGTTAAATTTCAGTATTGTTGTAGTTTATACGCATCGTTCGTGTTTATAAGTTTATATGCATGGACATCGTTCGTGTATATAAGTTGATAAGAAGATATCTTATTATTGTCGTAGTTTATATGCATCTTTCGTGTTTATATTGGAATTAGGTTTTTAAAGAACGAGGCAATAAGATGTGGTATTATTGTCGTAGTTTATACATTGCCGTAGTTTATACATTGTCGTAGTTTATATGCATCGTGTTTATAAGTGGAATGAGGTTTTTAAAGAACGAGGCAATTATAAGATATGGTATTTATTGTCGTAGTTCATACGCATCGTCTAACTTCGTAGCCACGTATCCGCGTATCCAATAAATACTACGTACATATATCTTATCATTACGTCATTTTCAATTACACTGCACGTCATGAGTCAATTTAATCTATTGATGTTCTCCGCTGACAATTTTCCTTGCTTAAGTTCGGACCACGTATCCGCGTACCAGTGAAATGGTAGCTGCATGATATATTATTACTAGTGGACGGGTATTCTGCAATTTAGCCGCTTTAATAGCTCTTTCAATATTTGCCATTGAATATAATTTAATAGTTGTGCGATTTAAAGCACCTTTAAACGTATAAAAAACCATTTTGTATACTATATTCTGATGAGAATCTGTTCAACAAAATATATCGATTGTGAGCGTGTGCCCGCGCGAATTTAGTAAGCGGAACAAACATAAGCAATAAAAGCGCATGCGCCATTTATCTCATTTTGGATAAAAAAATTCGATTTCCTCAGAGTCATGCCACTACCTAACTCGCGAACAGGCATACTCTGGGAACGAGATTGTGTCATAAGATGAACAGAAACGAAGATATGAAGGTTGTATTTGTAGTAAATTACAGTATATGGCGCGTCAACAGGTTGCAGTGGAATTTTTGTCTATTTCACTTGTTTAGGCCACATAAAATAAATTCCTTGATTCTCATCACTACACTTTGAAAATGTCGAAGAGGCGGGAGGTTTATATTTTATATTTATATAATTTATATATCAATAAATAAAAAGTAATTCCTAACATTTAATATTTCTGTGATTTCCAAAGCGAAGTGTCACAAACCGAAATAAACATATTTCTCCACGAACAATGACTGAACCCTTGAACTGAATGCGAAGTTCCTTTAAAATGCAATGAAATTTCTTTCAAGGTTCTATTTGTTTGAAATTGGCAGTTTAAAATGGCACTAAAAACCCAATATAAAATATAAAAAACTTAACTGTCTTGAAATATTTTGTCGGGCGGTACATTTATATTGTATAACAAAATATAAAAAATTTTCACGCGGCTCTTAGGGACAAGTCATTATTAATGCCGGATAGGGGGCCGGAGGAAATTTTTATGAATAGCAAAAATTTTTCATGACCCCTTATTTTTCTAACAAAATCATTATATCCCCCCCCCCCTTATTGAGGCAACATATTTCATAGCCCCCCTTCCCCCCCGCAATTCTGAATTCAATGAATGTAAGTCAGTTTCGTAAGCATTTTTCCTGCCCTCATACTCAGTTTACTTGCAGCTGTAAAGAATATTGTAAATATTGAAAATGATAGCCAAGGTGGACCAGGGCCTTTTTTTAAGGATTTTCCCGTGGGGGGGGGGGGCATTTTTTGAAAAGGGACCTTTCTGTGAGATAACATATTAGAGGGGGATAGCAATGGCTGAAAGCCACGTGTGTGGTAAATATACCACGGAAATGTCATTTCCTGCATTCTGAGCATCCAAATTTGCTCCAAAATTTATCCTAACTATACTTGTATTTGAAATAAATAAAGGAAGAAACGCACAAAAAGTAACAAAAAATTAACCATCATTTATGATTACTTATTAGAGGATAGCAATGGTCAGGTGTATGGGGGTGTACTCCCCCAGAAAATTTTTGAAATTTGAACCACGGAATTAATGCCATTTCTTGCATTCTGAGCATCCAAATTTGCTCTAAAATTTATGCTAACTATAGTTGTATTTAAAATAAAAGATGGAAAAATGCACAAAAAGTAAAAAAGAATATTAACTGTAATTTATCATTACTTATTAGAGGGATAATCCCAAGAAAATTTTTGAAATTTGAAACCGTGAAATTTCATGCATTCTGAGCATCCAAAAGATAAAAAAATATTAACAATCATGGCTTAGTGGTAAAAAAAGTAACAATTTAAATCGATTTTGTTAAACAAGAACAGAGGATAAAGCCTAAAACTTACTTTCCGTTTATCTATTTGTTAATCTTCGCTGGATTGTTTGTTATAATTTTAGGAAAAAGGGACTTTTCCTGGGGGGGGGGATGTGATTTCGTGGGGGGGGGCACAAGGGGGGACTGGGCTTGTATGTTAAAAAAGGCCCTGAGGTGGACAGGAGTGACTTTAGTTTCACAATAGACGAAGGCCCTCAAACAAAAAAATCACACATCAGGCCTAGTCTTGAGAGAGGTCCAAAGAGGTCCACTGTGTTAAAAAGTGTAAAACAGGACAACAACTGTCAATTTAATGTAATTGCATTTGCAAATGCAGTGCATGACCTTCGGACAAATTCTACGGTGATGATGAGGATGACAATTTCCATATACAGTAGCTAGAACACAACTTTTAGGTTCAATATATTGGGCATTACTGTTCAATGTATGTATGTATACTGTATATTGTATATATCCATTACTCTTTTGATATTACATGTTACAAACTATTCCATAGATTTTATTTTTTGCCCCCCCCCTTTTATGTTCAAAATATTTTCTCCCCCCCCCCCTTCACTGGTCAAAAATTTTTTGTGGCCTCTCTAAATTTCCTCCGGCCCCCTACCCGGCATTAATAATGACTGGTCCCTTAAAATACAGTCGGGCGGTGATAAGAATCAAGGAATATATTTTATGTGGCCTTATGGCGCATTTAAAAATCGAAGAACAAGTGCTATATCTTATTGTTTATTTGACGGCTGAATGACGGTTTGATAGAGACTCAAATAATAGGGTCAGTACTGCATCTAGAAGCCAATGAGTATGGACTCGGTTAAGTCGGCTTTCAAATACGACAATGAACCAGTTGCCTATCAGCTATTATACAGCTTCACTAGACGAAGTGATAGAGAGATTAATGAATTTAATGCCGCTGCAGATAGGCAAATACCATCTGTGACTGTGTTGGAGCAATCAAACAATGGTGACGAAATCTTATGACGTCACATAGCATCAAATGGCCGATCAAAAGTTCGCACAGGACGTGCAAAAAATGGCCACTTTGGAAGGCTATAAAATCGGTTTGAATTGACCAATTCCAATTTCATTCTGTTTGTGGTACAGGTTAGGAAGGAAAGCACTTTTGATTAAGCTAAAAAAATGAGGTCGAAAAATTCGTTGCAGTAGCACTTTAAGGGCAATTCCATTTAATATCCGCATTGACTAGATTTCC